AGTACAGCTAAATGAAATGATAATTTGATAAAAAAAAATCATGAAAATAGTGAAATATAAAACCAGCAGTGGAATTACTGAATTGATATCAGCTGACTAGAGGCCAATGTACACGCGAACGCCGAACTGTTTTAGGTCCAGTCCTGTAAAAAGAACGCTGGCCTTGAACCTGGGCACTGAGCGATTTATCACTGATTGGTATGAAGGGGGCGCGACGGGGGAACAATCCGCCAGTATTACTGTGCCTGCTTGCTATTGGTTCCCACGCTTTGTTCGCTCCCAAAATACAGTCGCATACACAGCTTATTTTGCGACTCGCGACGATGGTTTTAAAAAGGAAGGAAAGAATAATTATTTATATCTATTGTTTTATGATTAAAATAGTGAACGAAAAGGTAAATATGATAGGAGAAGGTGAATGTGGAAAATTGTGCAGTAAAGTTAAAAGTGTTGAGGAAGAATACGGAAAAAATTACCATGTGATCGACCTGATGACGGAAGCTCAAACGAAGATGAAAGTAATGATGAAGTAGCATCCAGTAACACCAACACAACATTGACACCTGGCTTCCATGTGACCCAAGACGACATAATGGGCGGCGTGTCACCCTTAGCTTAAGTTTTCTTGTTACAAACTACTTTATATTTGACGACAGAAATAACAAATAATGCTCAAGTAAACATTATCTATTTTTAATTCCAATCTCTTCCAAAGTTCTAAGTAGCTAGTAAAACACCTATTATGATTCTACAATAAAACAATTAATTACTATTATATTATAAAACAATAGCCTAATACCATGTAGTACTTTAGAACGCGACTGTACCCACACTCCCTCCAATGTTGACCTGTATCTAGCTCGGTGCGAAACAATGCCTAACCCGGCCGGCTGGTGTCGCCTCACACTGTGGACGTAGTAGGTTTCAATTTTGGCGGGGTTCGTTATTAATTTTAGTTTTTGAGACAGTTCCGTGTTGATTTTGTTAAAAAAATAAAGTTATAATTTGTGATTTAATTTCAAATACATCTGTTTTTCATGTAACTTTTTTCATTTGCCTATTTTTTTTCTGGTTTTTGAAAATTTGGTCAGGCAATATCGAGTCTTATTTGCCTTAAATTGAGTGTTGCTAACTATGTGGATTTTCCACTAAAACTGGTGGTTTTTCTAGTGGTTCAGTAGAATTCAGTTTCAAGTAGTGGAAAGATGATCACTCAGATATTTCTACTTCATATTATAAGTATTTACTTTTACTTTGTAGACAATACTAATTCGTCAGACATGACGTGACCTCAGACGATCTATTAGGGTGCTAGAATATACGCTGGGATTCCTAGTAGAATATATTATAGTAGTAGCTAAATAAATTCAGTGTTACAATTTTTTGCGAGTTCATACGTCACTATGCCGAATCCACAGCATACGCAAAAGTTTCGGTATTATTGGCTTCAAGTCAAAAATTTAAAGGATTGGCTCTAAGTGATTGAAAATTGAAAGTAGTAAGAGTCAAGTAGCGAAATGAAAATTTTGTTGTATAATTGTAAGGATGATGATGGAAACCGATGATGATAGCACCAACAAAAATGATTCATCTGAAGAAGACAGTTTAATTTAAAATAGCAGTTGATCAAATTTTTTTTCAAATAATTTTATCTCCACACTAGGATTTTCTCCTGTATCGTGGGCAGAATCTCCTGATCGGAACTTACTTGTAGGCCATAAATACTAATTCAGTGCAGGATTTGAACCCGCATCCCTCAGCTCTAGAACTCAATGCAAAGCTACTGCGCCCGTTATCCTTAATGTTGACCTTGTTGATTTACTGTATTTTGATTGATTGGTTATTTACATAGAAATTTATTATTTTGATACACAGTATGTAATAATAAAGGTAACCAGTTAGTAATTCACCTATTGTTTTCTTTAGTTATTTAAAAAAAAATAGTGGAAAGTTTAGGGATTATGAGAATCTGGTGGAGAGCTAGTTTAACTATTGGCAACACTACTTATATTCTGTTTTTGTGTGAGGAGGTTTTGGCGGGAACTTTACCGGCGGCGGTTTGCTGCTCCTGTATTATAGTTTAAATAATAGTTTGAAGTGGATTTTGATATGTAAAAGTGGTGCGATTTTATGTATTAACTGTCTACGCATGTGAACTATTAGTGGAAACGGTGAAACAAGTGCTCTGATGGTGATGGATTCTCAAGATAAGCTGTTTGTCTGCATAGGCGCCTTTAGATACCATCGCCAACTGTCAGCTGTCTGCTGGCTCAAGTTGCCGTCAAAATCTCCCAAGGGCTGCACAATGTGACGCATCAACATATTGTGAAGCAGTGAACTATGAAGGATAATTATACATTTGGGAAATTATAATAAACCGAATAAAAATACTCAAGACTTGGCCTAAAGGTCTAGATACCAGGCCAAAAACTCCAAAAAAAAATGTTTTTGTGTGAACCTGTGAAGTGTGAAGTAGGGATAGGCAAAGGAAAAATATATATCGATACATATCGAGTCGATATTATAAACAGAATCGATATATATCGCGTAATAAATATCGAAATATCATGATCATATGCATGATGTAAAGCATGAAGCAAATACAAAGAGGAGACGTTGTAATTAAATTTCACTATGTAACAACGCGTGACAATTTGTGGGGTGAGGGGATGCAAAGCCCCACCCACTACACTATCTACACCTACCGATAAATAGTAAAACTACTCGAATCTTTCCATATCGATGTTGCAATGTAGCTTAGCTACCTTGACGGTAGATGGCGGCATGTCCACAAAATGTTATAAACTATAAAAATAATATTTTGGCGATTAAAATTTCTTTATGTCTGTATGTCGTCATGTCTTTATATCTGAATGCAAAACAAATTTCAGCACCTTCGTATGATTATTTTATCATTACCGAGCTCTACGTACTTACCGTAACCGTGATTCTTTGCATATAGAATGTCACTTAAATATAACTTAAACATTTCATAAAAATCAGCCTAAGTACAATTTCCTGCATTTTAATATTAAAAGTTGGATTACTGGGAAAAATAATTGAATTCTAATTAGGGCCCTGTCTTTTTGTCATTTTTATGAGGTTTACTTGACGAGAATACGGCCTGTTCTCAAAATGATTATAAACTATAAAAATAATATTGTGCGATTCAAATTTCTTTATGTCTGAATGTAAAACAAATTTCAGCACCTTCGTATGATTATTTTACGAATACTGAGCTCTACGGACCTTTATATTTTTAGTTCACATGACACAAAGTGTCGCCATCTAGTGTCGAATATATTTAATTATATTTGAAAGCCGACGCAAAGAGATTTTCTAGAACTATTTTAATAAATTTGGTGTAAAATTTTTTACAAATGAAATGTGATGCCATCCATAACATCAGAGCGTCTATCTGAGTAGTTTTTACACAATAAAACACAACACTTCATCCTTTTCTTCTAAATACTACGAAAATACACCATTTTGCTATTTTGTCAACACATAAGCGCACAGGACGAATGCTGACAGTATACTAACTAAAGCCACGCCCACTATGATGACGTCAGGACCTACTTAGAATCACAGTGCACAGTTGCTTATGCCGTCTCCCCTTTGTATTAGCTTCATGATGTAAAGATAACTTATCAGTAATATCGACATATTGCATTTTAAAATATCTATGGACCAAGGGACAGAAATCAATCAAGTAGACACAACAAAATTTCTAGGTGTAACTATTGATAAAAGTCTGAACTGGAAAGCGCACACAGAAGAACTAAACAAGAAAATTAGTTCTTCTGCTTATGCGCTCTATAAGCTCGCATCCGTCGTAAATACCGATGCGCTACTCAGGGCTTACCACGGTATTGTTGATTCCATCTTGAGATTTGGCATCATATTCTGGGGAAATTCTACTAATAAGGAAATTATATTTAAGTCCCAAAAAAGGTGCATCAGGGCTATGTTTGGTCTTAAAATTACTGATAGCTGCAGACCATATTTTATTAAGTACAAAATTTTAAGCTTGCCCTCCTTATTTATATATGAAATAGCAAACTTCGTTCACAGTAACCCTAAATTGTTTAACAAACTATCAGACGTTACAATTCGCAATCACCGGGATAATAACAGGTTATGCGCAATTAGATCAAGAACAGCATTGATGCATAAAAGTATTTTCTGTCTGGCGCCAATAATATATAATAAAATCCCCAAAACCATCAGACAATTGCCGACTACACTTTTTAAGCCACATCTTAAAAAATATGTGATAGCCAAATGTTATTACAGCTTGCCTGATTTCTTAAATGATTCTTTATTTAAAGCTAAATATTAAATTGTGACATTTCTCTCATGTAATCTTAGGAGATGCCATTGAAATTGTTGCACATCTAGAACTAGGTCCGCAGGGTTATTTTTTATCTTGTATAATTAATAAAATACGAAGTTTTATTTTTGTACGCCATAAATGGCAAAACATGTAGCTCGTTTTAAGTTTTTTTTTAACTCCTTTATATTCTTATTTACTCATGTTTTACAAAATAAATATCTTTATCTTCATCTTTATCTTCATATCGATATTTTAATCTAAAATATCGATATTATTTCCAAGCCTAGTGTAAAGTCATGAAGTGTGAGTGGCAACGGTGAACGAGAGCGAGACTAGTGTAAAGTGACGGATGCTAAACGGAAAGCTGATTTCGTGTTTGATTTGTTTAATTTCGGCATATCGATGTAAATTTTTTGTGGAAAAAGTTTTTGAAATCTTGAACATGTAATTTCAAAGTCGTTTTCAAGTGTTTGTTGTACTTATTTTCTTTTCTTTATAATGATTGTATCATTGTCGGCGTCTTATTGTAGGTTATAAACTAAATACAATTCGTCATCAATTTACTTTTGTCTGTTATGACAAATCCTTCTTCAGACTTGTAGTATAATTACATTTGTTGAGTGTTAATAGTGTATGATTATTTCTAAGAAATTTCAACTACACGATGGGGCTGATACTGTCAAAATTTCGAGTAAGTATTTTGATGAAGCTTTGCCTTTATTTTGTAACGTTGCCAAAACTATTTCAATAGATCATGCTCCCAGAGTTCATTTGGCGCGAATTCAAATTACTATTACTATTAGTACTAACCGAGGTGTAATAAATTGTTTATAGAAATTTAGAGAGTAAAACCCATGAAATTACATTCACTGCATCTTTAACATCTTCAAAAAAAAAGAAGTTAACAATACTACTGTAATTTCTTTAATGTATTTAACAGTATCAACTATCCATTTATACACAGCTTACTTTTATGAGGCTTTTATTACAATATTACCTTATTCGGGCTTATCAAATCAAATATGCTAATAATTAAGATTTTTATGCTTCTCAATTAAAACAATTTAAGGTTTTCTGGTCTTTCTATTGAGAGTTTTGTAGCAAAAATCAAAATGGTCCAAAAATTTTTATACATGTAATAGAAAGTAAAAATTTGATATGCAATACTTAGATATCCAGTTACAATCTGGCTTTAAGATTATCCATGCAATTTTTTTTATTATTGGGTATCTGAATGGCTGAACCAGAACCAGATACTTAATTATTTGTGTAAATTATTGCTACAGTTTTCTTTATAAGTTATGTAAGGTAATTATCACAGGAAATTATGATTTAACCTTTTGTTCCTTTATTCAGAGACTGCACGAGTCTCCTATAACCATATCTATATGTATATCTAAACAGACAGATTCCTAGTTAAAAAGAGAGTCCTACCATTGTTCCTGGTCTGGTCATCTCTATAGCTTTTTTATTTGACAGTAGTTTTTTTTTTATAGGATAAGGGCGACAAACAAGCACACAGTCCACCTGATGGTAAGTGGTTGCTGTGGCCCATAGACATCTATATTTATCCTCGATATCGAATATCAAAATGTAGATGCATTGTCACCCGTGAGGACTAAGATGGAATGCCTCATTTCCAGTAAAAAGGTTTTTATTATATACCTTTATTTTCTTATTATGTGCCTACCATTTATGCTAAATGTTTATCCCATGGGTTGTTTCACTACCAACATTTAAATCCTTTGTTAAATACTGACTAGGTTTTTATAATGACATAGTTTTCTGACTTACTGATTCACCATCTTGCGCTTTTGTAAAATGCAATATTGTCTGTTTGCAATTGACACCAAGGAATTAGGATAAACAAAACTAAACAATGATTGACTCTGACTTAAACCTTAAAAATGTTTATTTCTCTGGCCAGCTTTGCTTTGTACTGGTTCACAAAGTATTCAGGAATTCTTTGTGAATGTTGTGTTTATAAATGCCAGTATTGTTTATGAGGCACACTATGAAAGGTTCACCAAATCTTTCCTTGTTTATTGTGCTTACATAAAAATACTATTAGATTCTGGACTTGTAATGCGTAAATTTATATTTGTTTTTGTGGTTTTTTATGTCAACTAGACTTAAAAAATTTATCCCAAATTTTTAATGAATGTGAGATCTGTTTGATGGTAACGTAATTCATGCACTTATTAACATTGTGTTTATTTATTTTGTATAATCCGTTATGGGAGTTCCTTTCAAAAATCTAATAAACAATTTGAGGCCTGCTTATTCCTTCCTTGTGAAAGATTCACATGTTCATAGAAGTCTCACCCTGATCTACGCCTAAATAATTTAATTTTATGAGTTTTTAGGGTGACTTCATTTGCATTCTATGTATAGTTCTAGTTGTATTTGAAACAGTCTAATGGCTGACTTATGAACACTTAATAATAGTTGCTGATAATACTTGGACCAGTTGTTGTTGATTTTCCTTCAATATATTATTTTTATTGTTTTTTTTTTTTAAATAAATAATATGTCACAAGAAAAATTAGACATTTATCTTGTGACATAGTGGACACACAGACTTAGAACAATTATTTGTACATCATACAAATAATAATTGTTGTCTTAAGTGTACTGTTTTCTACTTAATGTTAGTTATAAGTAGGTATTCGTTATCTTACCATGTAGTGGCAGTGTAAGAATATCCATTACCCCATATCGTCACGTGGGTGTCGTAAATGGCGACAGAGTGCAACAAATCAGGAGATGGGCAGCAGTCTTCCTAATAACGACAAAAAATAAAAAACTACAGTTGCCAACCTGCTTACCAAGCATGGCATCTATGGCAAATAGGTAAAACTATAGACATCCGGTACTAGCGCATAGCGGTCGGAGGGGGATTGGGGTGGGAGAGGGTATGGTGAAGCCCTGGGGGGTACCCTACCACCGTTGTGGAAATGTATAGTTTATGAGTAATAATTTTTTTGTAAAATTGAATTTAATAAACAGGCTGTTTTCCGCAACTTCACGTCTAAGCGCGTATTTGTGTGTGGGCAGGAATAATGTATTTATTCGTGCCATAAACTCCCCCCGAAGAAGTTCAACAGTCCTCTGATGTTGCAAGCAACTTCGAGGAGTGATCTCGGTGTGCCGAGATGCTTAGCCCTGTATGCAGTGACTTCCGGACATGTCAGCAACACGTGGACTTCGTCCCACATACATGTCCTGCACAGGCTGTCTGTAACACCTATGGTAAATAAATGTTTGTTTAAAGATGCCATGTCCTGTGATAGCTTTTGTTACAATCCTGATCTGCGGCTTGTTCAGTCTCATTAGAATCTTGGTTAAACAACTGTTTATTTCAGGCAGAGTGTCCCTAGCTTGTCTACAGTCTACTAGATTTTTCCAACGTTGAGCTTGTTGATTAGTGAAGTGTCTATATACCAGTGAACAAATGTTACCAAAGGGGATCAGTATGATTGGATATGGCCCTATAGTGGCCAGAGCCAATTCTCTTCTGGCCAATTCTCTTCTGGCCAGTTCGTGTGCTGCATTGTTGCTTCTGGATCCATTATGTCCCTTTATCCCTGGCAGAGTAACATTGATGCGGACAAGGGGAAGGAGGGACTGGGGAGCCTCAGCCTAGAGATGGGAACAGTATTCCATGTTAGGCCGAACCTGCGTCTTGCAAAGTTGCAGGCGGTGTGCCGACATGAAATACTGTCCCGCTCTGCTGAGCACGCCAAGCTTTTTAGAGGCTAATTTGGCCTTCTGTTCCAAGTGACCACGAAACTGTACGTCACTCGATATTTCGACGCCGAGGATTCCGATACTGGCTAAGGCAACAAGGGGAATGCCTTGAAACTGAGGAGGTACGAAAAAGGGGTTCTTTTTAACGGTAAACGCGCAACTTGTGTCTTTTGAGGATTAAACTGGACTAGATTTAGTCACCCCCAATCCGAGACTTTGTTCAGCAAATACTCGACTTCAGACACAAGTTTGTTCCGCTACTCGGCGACGTTTTCCCGAGAAATATTGGCACGGTTGGTGTATAAAGCATCACCAGTGCTGTCATCCGCATAGCAATGGATGTTACCGCTTCGCAACATATCATTGATATGCAGAAGAAACAGCATTGTTGATAGCACGCAACCTTGTGGAACACCAGCATTAATAGGCTTATAGTCGGAACATGCACCGTCTACAACGACCTTGATGCTCCGATCTACAAGAAATCTAATTGCACAATTTCTCGGGAAGCCCGTAGAAAGGGAGCTTCGAAAGAAGCGCTTTGTGCCAAACCGAATTTTAAGATAGTCAGGTAAAACCAGTTAACTGATCGACCTTCGCACTTTTTTTAATTTTCTCCAAAAGTTATTATTAAACTGGCTTTTTTATTTCAAATATCTTTTCCTTAATAATCTCCTAATAACTTATCATTAAACATTGTTATCAACGTTGTACGATGTGACTGTATTGAATTACGTATTTTCAAACTTTTGGAAGCCGTTTTTTCAATTTAGCAAAATTGACAGATAACTAGTTTTACCAGTAAACAACACATATATTGTAATAATAATTTAACAAAAAATATGATGACATTGTTACTATAGAAAACTGACGTAATATCATCATCATCATCATTATCATTACAGCCTTTCATAAGTCCACTGCTGAACATAGGCCTCCCCCAAAGAATGCCACAAAGCACGGTCCTGAGCCACACGCAACCATCGACTTCCTGTATGTCATGCCGGCTATGACGTAATATATTATATTGTAATAATAATGTTAAAAAAATATGATTACATTATTGATTAAAACTATATAATATACATGTTAAAGATATTGATTATTTTATAAATATATTTTAGACTTAAATATTGTACACCTGAAATAGGTAGTCTTAACAGTGGTAGAGCCACGCGGCAGCTTTTGCTGTCGCACGGATGGGCCGGCTCGAACCGGGGTAGTACCACGACCTCACAGAAAACCAGCGTGAAGTAGAGGTTTACCTCTGCGTTTCGCTTGGTGAGTGCAGGTGGCCGGAGGCCCTTTTTACTGGAAATAAGGCATTCCATATTAGTACTCACGGGTGACATGGCATCTACATTTTGATTTGTAACAGAGGATAGATGTAGATGTCTATGGACCGCAGCAACCACTTACCATCAGGTGGACTGTGTGCTCGTTTGTCACCCTTATCCTATAAAAAAAAAAGGTAGACTATGGAGTACAAAATGTACATAACATATTTTTAAGATTTTGTTTAATTTTACCTGTAGCCATGCAATAAATTTTGTTGATTTCATTTGATTTTAAAGGTTCCAAATAATTTAAAGTTAAAATAAATGATTACAATCATCAATACAACGTCAAATAATAATAATTATTATGTCATCCAGACCGAATTTCGGTCACGGTGGCTAGTCCCAACGGAGACTAGCCATCTGCGCAGGACAGGATTATAGTGTCCAAGTGCATACGCAAGCACAGGAACACTTTATCCCCTCACTCTCATTGTCCGATAAGACGGCAAAACGACACGACTGGAAAGAGATCAGCGCAGAACCACAGGCTTTACTTTCTTTTCGAAGCACGAGGGTGACATACCACCAACTTCCTGACTCTAGGCTGCCCAGTGGCAGAATTTCGTGAAAAGAAAACCAATAACTAATGATGACCCGACCC